GGCAAATTCTTTTCAACTAAACAGAGTTCTTGGAATGTATGCATTACCTTAACAACAGGATTCAGCAGAACAACACCTGATTTCTTTGTAATAACTTGCTTTGTTGTGTAATGATGCTCTATGAGCTGAGGAATAGTTGGAAACCCAGTTCCTTCAAAACGATACTGATTCTGTATGGAGGTAAAAGAAAATAATTGTTTCTCTACAAGCAATATTTTGAACAAGAAACTGCAAAAGTGCATGACCAGCCTTCCCACACTGGTAACAATACAAAGAAATATTTGCTTTTACAGAACTAGATTTTTTTTTTTTCTGATCTACTTAATAGCATTTCTACTGAATTAAATGGAATGATAGTTAGGAAGATGATTAATAAATGCAAAATTACTGCATCACTCATTTAAGGCAACATGATAAAATAAGTATTTATTTAAACTCATAATTTAAAGATTTAGGACAGTTAAAGCCCTGACAGAGTGAAATAAAAATATTCTAAACTACAAAACCCAGTCACTTCCTAATTACTTAAAGTTCTAAGAATCACAGAAAACAAACTAAAAACTAAACATCTGGCAATAAAATAAACAGGAGATGAGTAACACTATCTAACTTGGATCTTACTGCATTTACGATGTTTGATAAAATTAATAAATCCCTAGCACAGAGCACAAGATGCATGATTGGTCTTTAATAAGCAGTATAGACCAGAAGAGTCTACAGCAGCTAAAAAATGGCAGGTTATGCATATAATTCACAGAGAAGTTGGGCAAGACAGAATTCCCTCCCTCCCTTGCTTCATAAATATATTTAGTCTTATATATATAATTAAACACAATGGAAACAGTCAAATCCTTAATATTTTCTTAGAAGCATGTAACATTTTCTTAGCAAAGACTGCTATGACCTATCATTTTTTCAGGTGTTAAGGAGAAAAAATTATATTGTTATTGCTTATCTTTGCCCACACTCTTGATGGAAAGAAAAATGGCAAAGAAGTATTTATTCCATTCTCCTGAATGTCTTACTAAGATCACTAACGTTTGAATATAGCACAGGCTCAAAAAACAACAGCAGCCTTGAATGACAGCAGTGAATTTTGATGCTTAAAGCTGAACTCTGAAGTCATTTATCACACACATAGTTTTATTAACATTAGACTTCAAAATAATAGAGAGAACACTTTTGGACACCAAATTTGGTCTCTATATGGGGACTTGTCAGTGATCCAAAAGTGTGATTTGACCGGTCACAGAGACCTGATTCCACATTGTTCATACCAATGTTAACAAACAAACCCCTTGCACTAAACTCTCCTCAAACTTCCCTACCAAAACGCTCATGAACACAATCCCTCTTGTTATACGACCATAGTAATCCCACCATCTAAATCCCTTTTAGAGCTTAATAAGCTTTACTCTTTCTACAATTAATGCTTTTTCTTTTTTTCACAATAAATGCAAAAAATTCATCCCATAGCAGTACATAAAGAGTCCTGCATTTCTTTAAGAAAAAAGTTTTAACTTCTATGATTGTCAAGAAAATCTGACACAAATGTATCTCAAGAGCAGATGAACATAATGCCCTATTACTAAACTTAAGAGCATAAAAATCTAGTATCCTGATGATGTTTGGACCATCCAAGTTATGCAATATTAAACAGCATCAGTTTTACATTTCAAATATCATTTCTAAGAGTAAGTAGTGAAATTATGGAAATAAAGACAGCTTTTTTTTTTTTTTTTGGTGGAAAACCTTAATACAAAAATGAGTCATCTTACAGGCAAGCCTCAAAGTAATACCTATTAAAAAAACCCATCTATTTTAACTGACTATATTTTTATGAAGACCCACTTGTCACGTTTTTTACACAAAAGTGTTTCAGCCACACCAAGTTCACAATGTGCATTTATTTCTGTGGTGTTGGGATCTTGTAAGACTGCGTGTCTATGTACAGCTAATTTAATTGCTCTTATTTTCTCATTCAGCATCCTGCCATGTCAAAATGCTTTCAGATCATAAAATCGAAATAAAATAAACCCTGACTTTGTGAAAAGGTTCACTTCAATAAGGAAAACTCTAGGTGAAAATTAATGAAAACTCCAGCTGGACAAGCACCCATAATGATTGACATATAATTGGCTTCTGTAAGTACAGCCTCCCAACTTCTGTGAATTTTCAAAAATATCGCTGCCTCTCATTGAAAAAAACAAAACAAGTACATAATATTGACTTCACCCAGGCACGCTGCATCAGCTGGGGACTTCGACAAGGAAATCTCCCTAACTAAACCTCATTATATGATTAAATTTGTGGGGTTTTCCCTGTATGTGGGAGACGTTATTGCAAGAGACTGAAACATGTTTTGGCAGCATTACTGAATCAAAACTGAGAATGACTTGCTAATTTGTCATACTTCAAGAAGAATTTATAGTAATATTATAAGAACTGTCATATTTTGAATGAGTTTGAAATTCTGTAAGGTAAAACAAATAACACGTTAAAAACCACAAGTAATGCATTAAGAAGAGTAAGAAGAAATATATTGCATAAAGGCATATAACAATTAAAATACTGTTTAAAATGATCAATTTTTCCTAAGTTAGAGCAACAAGGAAATCAGTTCTGGTCCTTAGAAGCATATGAACTGTGCAACATCCACAAGTGGTTTTGTTATACTGAACAATATCCATAGGGCTAAAAAGAACAGAAGCATCTCTAATGTAACAGCTTCAATATACAGCAGCACAGAGATCAACAGACTATTTTCTTCTCTGTGCATGTTTCCAATTTTCAAAGGAATCTTTACAGTCTGAATTAAAAGTAGCCTAATAAATACCAGTTAAGAAAATGGTTTTAAAAATAAACACACATGCATAAATTAGTAATAACAAATTCTGGATTTCAAAACATTTACAGAAATATCTTGGCTTTTCAGAGTAAAATAAAAGATGCTGAATAACCTCATGCTTCTTATTTTTAATTTGTTTCCCAAAATTGTCTTTCCCTCCCCGATTTCAGCATGATGGAAATATTTCCAAGGGTTTTCATATTTTCATATAAACACTAAAGTCATCTGCTATAGTAAATTTGCAGACCCTACATTGGTTAGCTGAAATTATAAATTTCCTAACATTTAAAATATTCAGTACTATATCAGAGACGTACATCAGCATATTGTATGATAAAGTGTCTCCGTTGTCCATCTGAAAACACAGAAAGGACATATTCACCAGGTTTCCCGTGGCTCTCTCGCACCAAGAAGTCTCCTTGCTGTTTTAACAGCTCCTGGGCTTCTATTCTTGGAATTGCACCATGATACCAGTCTTGCTCAGCCAGCGGTTTCTCAGTGGTTGAAATTACATCAAAGAACTTCGGAAAAATATTGAAAAATGTTACTCTAACAGTTTATTTTTAGTTTACTTTTATATGAAAAGCATGATAAACAACAATCATTTCTATTTCTGTATCTAAATTACATATTTCTGTCAACAAAAAAACCCCAAGGCTCTTATATTTACAAAAATTACATACTGATCACCTTCTTTTTATCTCCTAAAAGATCAATATATTTAAAGCAAAAGATTATTGAAACATCCATAAAACCATTTAATATTTTTCACTTGGCCTGCTATTTTTCCAGAGTCATACTGACCAACTCTTTCTCACACAGCTGATGTGTTATTAATAACAATTCAAAACGAACCATTTCTTTATACAGACAGAAACTTCTCAAATATAAAAACATACAAAATTGATTCATACAAAGCATTTGAATTGAATACATTTTCACCAATTTATTTACCAATTGCATCCCAGATCAGTTAATAGCTCTATGAGATACTTTTCCTAGCATTTACACTGTAATACATAATATACACCTGGGTGTACTGGCTATAAATGGGAGTTAATGAGTTTTAACCACCAATTTAACATATTAATTTTAACAAGCTTACATTGTTTAAGAAAACACTGAGGAATACTTTGTATTTTGGTCGATGACCACTTCAGATTTATTTGTTACAGCTAGACAGAGAAGCCCTTACTTAAGCTCTATGTCAGTCAAAATCATTAGTGCCAGCACTCATCGAAATTCTCACCTCCAGAGTAGTAAAACTCTGAACAAAATAATACAGTGCATTCTGCATCGTGAGTTGAACAGGCATGTGAATGTGTCCCAGGCAACCCTGATGAACAGCACTTTCAATAAAAGCAGGAAGACCCAAAC